CTACTTACTGAGTTTTTACCATGTAAATACCTGTCCTCAGTTGTCTGGAGGATTAAAGAATTATTGATAGCATGTTCCTTATACTTGAGGTGCTTACAGTCTACTTGGCAAGAGATCGAACATTTATGAACCATCCAGACAGCAAAGTCCTAAAAATTAGAACAGAGAATAGGGTATTATAGAAAGCAAATGCCAGTGAAGTGAAGGTTTTTGTTTGTTTGTTTTTGTTTTTTAAGTCAGAGTCTCACTCTGTCACCCAGGCTGGAGGGGAGTGGCATGTTCACAGCCACCACAGTCTCAACTTGCTGGACTCAGGTGGTCCTTCTACCTCAGCCTTTCAAGTAGCTGGAACCACAGGTGTGCACCACCATGCACAGCTAATTTTTTTGATTTTGTAGAGATGCGGTCTTGCAATGTTGCCCAAGATGTTTGTACCCCTGGGCTCAGCAATCCTCTCACCTCTACCTCCCAGCGTGCTGGGATTAGAGGCGTGAGCCATGATACCCAGACTTGTTTTTTTGTTTTTTGTTTTGAGAGGTGAAGGTTATCAACATTCTACTCCTTCTTTAATGTTCAAAAGGCCCCTCCTCCTGATGATGTCTCTTGCTGGGCAGTTATTTCTGGAAGTAAATAATCCTCTCTGCTAGGTGAGCACTCTGGTTAGCATCTATTACAGAGTAGCCCTTATTGAGTCTGAATGCCCTTTGTTTCATTTATCTTGGGTCCTGAGTGGGCTTCATATCAAGTTTATTTTAGGAATTCCAGTCCATGTTCATCTCCTGATGGAATGAGGAAGGAGAGGTGTGGAGCTGGATAATAACACAGTCCAGATTAACTACTGGTAATGGATGTGGAAATGTGGAAAGGACTGCCCTCAACCTGTTGACGAATAGCAGCCACCTGTCTCTCCCAAACAACACCCCATTCTTCCAATCCTTACCTCTGAGGGAAGGATTGTCAAAAGCAGTAAGGTATGATGGGAAAAATTGCTAATTGGGAGCCCAGATTCACTCTAGTCTCAACTAGTTCTGCTCCTAACTAGCTTCCCTCTGAGCCTCAGTTTCCTCATCTGCCAAATGAAGGAATTGAATTGTTCAACACTCAAAGTCTACAGCTCTCTATAAATTAGGAATCACAAGGTTCCTGTGATTTTATGTTGGATTTATTCCCCAATCATGAGTCATCAGTCAGTCTCTGACCTTGCAAACACAAATTCCTCCCCCATGATGGAAATTAGAGCACTTAATTCTCTTATGGGTAGGTTGTACACTCTGAATGGTTATGTACAGTACTGTCTGGGAAGTTGAGGCAAAGGAAATGGCTCCTTAATCCCTCCTGGGATCTAAATGGAAAACAAGATAGCCTATGACATCAGCTGCCATTTCCTCTGTGATCAGACTAAATAATACAAATATCAATATTAAATTATGTGTTCATACTTTTAGATTTTGCCTTCCATGGCAAGTCTCAGTGAATCCTTTACTCTTGGCCTTTAGTAAAGGTTATGTAGGAAGAACAGAAAATATGAACATAGAATTACAGCATTTTAGAGCTGCAGGAGACTTTGAGGTTAGAGCCAACCCTCTCATCATCCTCTTGAGGAAAAAAAAAAAAATGAGAGGTCCAAGATGTGAAACAACTCGATCCAGCTTTGACTTCTTGAAGCATGTTCTTTCCATTTGCCTCACCCAAACTCACTGTAATTGGACATACCACCACCTACATGCCAAATAAATAAGCACTCTTTTTTTAAAAAGCCAAAAAAGGTAAACTCATCTCTTTTAACGAGTTTCCTTCCTCACAACTAGAGGGTCCATGCAAGGGGAACACAGAGTTCATCAAGATGAACATTTCTGAGATAGGAAGAGCTCACCCTCCTAGACTATATCCAGAACAAATTCCTCATCCCAAGACTTCTGCTCCATAATTCTATCCACTACCTTCCTCTGTCTCTACAAGTAGATGAGTACCAGAACTAAGAGAACTGTCATAAGAATAATATTGCCTTTTAACAAGCCAGTCATTTGCTACCACATCATCTGCCAGTTAAAAAGCTGCTGCTTTAATTTGGCACTGGGTGAATAAAATTCCAAAGTTAAAACCCTGTTATTTTCACTAAGAAAATGATTTTTGACCAATTTCTCCCTTCGTTGGTTTCCTATGAATCCAGGCGAGCTACTCAAAGGCATCTCAGTAAAGAGAAAAAATTGTCGGTTTAGTTCCATATGTGACCTGTTTTTATCTAAACTTAGTCAGCATCAAGAGTCTAAGTTACTGGAATCATATAATAAGACCTAAATCCTTCCCAATTCATTCTGCCCCACTATTCAGATGAATGAGATATTTCTTATTGTTACATTCTTCTTATCACAGAAAGGCTTTTATGTCTGAACACATTTATTTAGTGGTATTTTGATTGCCATATACTCCATACCAGAATGTCTTAGATGTCACAATTGGAATTCAAAATTCACGGATGATGATGATGATGATGATGATGATGATGATTTTGAATTGGAGTCTCACTCTGTCGCCCTGGTTCGAGTGCAGTGGCATGTTCACAGCCACCACAGCCTCAACCTGCTGGGCTCAGGTGATCCTTCCTCCTCAACCTTCCAAGTAACTGGAACTACAGGCATGCACCACCAGGCCCAGCTAATTTTTAGATTTATTGTAGAGATGAGGTCTTGCCAAGTTGCCCAGGCTGGTCTTGAATCTGTGAGCTCAGACAATCCTCTCACCTTGGCCTCCCAAAGTGCTAGGTTTATAGGTGTGAGCCACCATGCCCGACCAGATTATTTTTAAAAAATACACAGGCTGTTAGAACTGGAAGACTTTCAAGAGCCTTTAATCATATGCCCTCCCTTTACAACTAAAGACATGGAGGGACAGTAAAATCGGAGACTTGTCCCTCATCACATGGCTAGTTAGTGGCAGTGCCACATCTCAAGGCCATGTCTCCACTCTTCCTATGCAGGTTCTTTCCACAGCCCATGCTGCTTTCCAACATCAATGTAGACTTTCTAAACACTCACAAAGGGTTGACTAGAAGCTATTCCTTGGGAGTCAGCCCCTCCTGTTCCAGAGCTGTCTCTGCTATTCCACTGCATGAATTATAGATGCAAGAGGTTACTAAAGCTTGAATAGGCGGATGAGTTGTCTTTCTTGCCCCAGTGTTTTACATTCTATCAGGAAGGTGGGTGCCAATGCTTATAGTTATCTGTTGCTCCCATAAAAAGTTGCTGTTCTAATTTATCCCAAATCCATTGTTGCTATGCAGTGTGCAATCAAGAAGGAACATTCTGGTTTTGAATTATGTGAGCAATTCAGTTTTCTGGTCAGTGTGTGAGAATTATTTATGGCTAGTTGGCATGCATAGCCCAGGGCAGCAGCCTACTAACTCTGTTTTGATGATTCTGTGACAGGAAATCTGGTTGCATCAAACGCCTAACTTCTTACTCCAGTGATGCCCAGCCATGCAGGCACTAATTGTTAAAGACTAACAGAAAAGCACTAGGGTGTAGGGGAAAGAGATTTCAACTTGACATTATGAGTATCTGCATTAGAGTCCCATCCCTGGCAGAATGACTTTAGACTTTAGTGCACTTGGGTTCTGATCCTCCTTCTCCTCATTTGTTAAATGTGGATTACATTTGAACTTGCTTTACACATATCATGTATAAAGCAAGGACTATGCTGGGCCAATATGATAATTTGTAAGGATCAGTTAACTTCAGAAATGAGAATACAGCAATAATGTGGAAAATGTTTTTTAAAAATCGTCTCTGGGGTCCCACAAGCCCAAGGAGGTATAAAATCCTGCTCTGCCATTTACTAATTGTGGGACCTTGGACAAGCTTCATCTTTTTTTTGCTTTAACTTCTGTAAAATTTCAAACATACTCAAGAAAAACTAGAACAATGAGCTAAAATGGTGTACAAATCACCAAATTAAGCAGTTTTTGCTATTTTACTAAATTTTTTAAAAAATGTGTTGTTGCTGTTCATGATTACCATTTACATGTCAGATGAGATAGATATATATCTATATATACATAGAAGCAGATTTTTATAAAACTCTGTGGGATATTATTTTACAGAAAGGTTAAGTAAATTTCCCAAGGGCACACCAAGAGTAAGAGTAAGCAGAGACTGGGAATTTGAATCCTAGAATACGCTAAGTTGTTACTTCAGTTAGACATACTGGCTCAAAAAGCTGAAGTGGGCAGGAGGGATGGGGAGATGAGATCATTAGGACCTAAAGTGATATTGTCGGGGCATAGACTGGATCCAACAAAAAGTAATTTAATTAGGCAAATTTAAGATCCTGTAGGAGGGTCTCCCCTCTGCTCCTAAATCTATGTAAGTACAGAATGGAATAGACCTGGGTTTGGAGAGTTTGTGTAAACAAGACTAAGTTGATAGGAAACTTAATCTGAGACAGTTTTTAATATGCTACTAATATCGTTTCATCTCTCTTCCTCAACACTTTTCTCCCCTTAGGTATTTTCAAGCACCATTTGGGGCCGGATGGCTCACGCGTGTAGTCCCAGCGCTTTGGAAGGTCGATGTGGGATGATCGCTTGAGCCCAGGAGTTAGAGGCTACAATGATCACTTCACTGCACGCACTCCAGCCTAGGTGACAGAGCAGGACCCTGTCTCAAAACGGAAAAAAAGCACATTTGGCGAGTTGTTGCTTTAAAGATCTGTGTACCAGGGAAGAAGGCTATAATATCTAATTCATGAGGTACAGTTATATTGGGTATTCAATAAATGTTAGCTATCATCACTTATGGTGGTAGTTATGTGTACAACCCCCTTCAGGGGCATGAAAGAACTTTGCAGCGTAGCGCCCCCGGCTCAACACAGAGGTGTTGATTGAGCAACCCCAGTTCGCGTCGCTAAGACTGCGGCCGCCCCCTTCAGGTCGCCTTTCTTCAGAGAGGCTCGATTAGGACGCGGATTGTTCCTCGCAGGCTTCCGTCGGCGCGCGTGGGAACGAGGAGCAGGAACAGGAAGTGGGGTTGTGCCGAGTTCCGGGCACGAGGCAGCCGCTACCGGGAGCTCAGCGCTGCAGCTGCGGGCCGGTGGGTTAGAGCCGCTATGTTCCGGATCGAGGGCCTTGCGCCGAAGCTAGACCCGGAGGAGATGAAACGGAAGATGCGCGAAGATGTGATCTCTTCCATACGGAACTTCCTTATTTACGTGGCACTGCTGCGAGTCAGTGAGTGTCCTCCCGGGCGGTGCCCGGGAGACCAGCAGGGAGTTCGCGGACACCCCCGCTGAACTCTTGTCCTTGTAGGCCGTCGGGGGGCCCTTGAGAAGCCGACCTGAGCGGCCTTGGGGAGCAAGGGACGTGCGTGTCGAGGGCGGCGGGCGGGTCAGCGTGGGGGTACCGGAGTGCACGTGGTGACGCGACACACGGGGTTAATCATCCCGGCTCGCCCAGCCTTAAAAAGCCTTTAAGTTGAAAAAGCTTCAAGGGCTATTCTCCAGAGTAGTTCCCTCGTTTTGCAAACAGAAACAGTACCAGAGTAGGGAAATGGTTGGCCCAAGGTCATTCAGCAGTTCAGTGATGATTTTGACCTGAAATCTTTGAAGGAGAGGGAAAGGATGTGAGTCTATAGGGTTTACGAAAATGCTTGAGGTTTTATTTGTTTTTGCAGTTGGCAGAAAGTTACATCCGTTACTCCATCTTGACAGTGGCCCTTTGAGGGAGACATGGCCTACGATTCTTTATGTCCCTTTTGCAAATGGTAACTCGATTTTCTTTCTTCCTTTTTTCCTTTTTTTTTTTGAGTTGGTGTCTCACTCTGTCGTCCAGGCTGGAGTGCAGTAGCACGTTCACAGCCACCCCAGCAGCGACCTGTTGGGCTCCGACGATCCTTCTGCCTCACCTTTTCAAGTGAGCTGCAGCTACAGGCGCGTGCTACCACGCCCGGCTAATTTTTGACTTACTGCGGAGTCGAGGTCTCGCCAAGTTTCCCGGGCTGTTCTCCAACCCGGGGATTCAGGCAGTCCACTCGCCTCGGCCTCCCAAAATGCTGGGATTACAGGCCGAGCCACTGAGTCCGGCCGGGAACTCGATTTTCAGAGGGGACTTATGCAAGGTATCAGAGTTACAGGCTCACTGAATATAAGAGCTGGAAGCTCTCTCAGTTTTCTAATTTTACTGATCAGAGTTTCAAGTGAGTTGCCCCCATCTCTTTATTCTCAGTTCAGCATCCTTTTCATTGTTCTATGCTGTATATTGTTGGCTGGTCTGGATGGAGACATCGAGATATTTCATATGTTGGGCCTAGGCCAGAGCTCACTGAGGCTGTCTCCCTTATTCAGTGTCCTTTTCACTGTCGGTAGCAGCGGTCCCCAATCTTTTTGGCATCGGGGACCAATTTGGTGGAAGACAATTTTTCCACGGACGGAGTGTAGGGGAATCATCAAACATTAGATTCTCATAAGGAGCGGACCACGTAGATTCCTTGCATATGCAGTTCACAATTGGGTTCGCGCTCCCATGTGAATCTATCTGCTGATCTGATCTGATCCTGTTACAGCCCGGTTCCTCACAGGCCACCAACCAGTACCGGTTTAGGCTCCGGGATTGGGAACACCTGTTCTATGGTATTACTCTGCTTCCCAGAAGAGGGAGCCTTGGAGAACAGAAACTCCCAAATCCTCGTTCAAGTGTACTGGTCGGTGGTTTTTAGCATAGTAAGAGCTGTGCAGCCATCTCCACAGTTTTACTTTTTTTTTTCTCCTAGAAGAAACTCCATACCCAATAGCTGTCACCCTTGTTTCCCCTTTTCTCCAGCATTGTCAGTTACTAATCTACCTTTTCACTATGAATTTGTCTATTCTGTATATCTCATTTAAATGGAATTGTAAAACACAGAAGTGATGACCTTTTGTGTCTGGCTTATTTCACTTAGCATGATGTTTTCAAGGTTCATCCATATTGTAGCATGTGTCAACATAAGATACCACTGTACCATATTTTGTTTCTCTATCATTTGATGTTCTTTTTTCCTGATTAAGAATTAGTAGAAAAGATTGGATGTACTGCTGACTTTATCAACTTCTGAGAGCTCTCAATATCTTCAGGTTAATATTAACAAAATATTCTATTAATATGTGTATTGAGAAAGAAGGTAATTCTGGGCAGGTGTTTAGCCATAGCACGTTTACACAGGACAGTAAACAATAATATTACTTCTTTAGATCCAAAGGATATTTAATTTTCTGGACATTTCTATGTACACCATCTTTTGAGACCCTCCTAATAACTGAGGTAAAACTTTATCATGTTATATCGGTGCATAAGTGATATATGCTAATCAGTGAGAGAACCAAAAGGTGTCCCGCTCTTCTAGTTCCCGAGTTCAGTCTTGTTTTTTTCTACCCTCTGCCTTTCAAATGAGATTTTTTGTTTGTTTTTGAGTTGGAGTCTCACTCTGTCGCCCAGACTGGAGTGCAGTGGCTGCTTCCGGCCACTGCAGCCTCGACCTGCCAGCTCCGGCGATCCTTCTGCCTCAGGCTTCCGAGTAGCCGGAATTACAAGGCACGCACTACTATGCCCGGCTACTTTTTTGATTTATTGTAGAGATGAGGTCTCGCCTGCCCAGGCGGATCTCGAACCCGTGGGCTCAGGCAATCCACTCACCTCAGCCTCCCAAAGGCACGGGATTACAGGCTGAGCCACCAAGCCCGGCTTTAAATGAGATTTTGAAGGTGAAAAATACCCATTTGTTTCCTGTAGAGTTTTGCTCCTTTTAAAGTTAAAATCAGTTGCCAGAGTAAAGGGTTGTCATTTGAAAGAGGATTGAGTTTATACTTTATGGTCCTAAGGGGTGAACTATCTGGGAAAATATTTTATATAGTGTAAGAGTAAAATAATTTTTACAATTTTTTTGAGTCAGAGTCTTAGCTGCCCAGACCGGAGTGCGGTGACCTGCCCAGACCTGCTGGGCTCAGACGATCTTTCTGCCTCAGTCTTCTAAGTAGCTGGAACTGTAGGTGTGCGGCACCACGCCCAGCTAATTTTTTTGATTTATTGTAGAGATGAGGTCTTGCCATGTTGCCCAGGCTGGTCTCGAGCCCAAGGGCTCAGGCAATCCTCTGGCCTCAGCCTCCCAAAGTGCTGGGATTACAGGTGTGAGCCACCACGCCTGGCTGAAATTTACAGTAATCATAGCTCATTGATATTGGAATGGGCTGTCAGTGAGTCCCTTTTGCTGGATTGTGCAGGCAGAGGGTTGACCAGCACTTGGAGTTGTTTTAAAAAATGTGTTGAACTAAACTTAAAAAGTTTTCTTCCCCAATTTTATAATTCTGTAATGTTCCCTATGGGCTCATAGATCTGAAAACTAATTCTGGATTTGTTTTTCTTTCAGCTCCTTTTATCTTAAAGAAATTGGACAGCATATGAAGATTGAGCACCACATGTGAATGCATGATATGAAGAACCTAGTTACAGTTTCTACTCCTGTCTGCAAGTGAATAGGCCCAGAAAGGTGTAAGAGACTCTTTGAATGTACATAAAAATTCTACTTGTTAAGAACAAGTTTGGCTCTGGTAACTGACCTTCATAGCTAAAATATAAAACTATTTGGCAAGTATAAAAAACGTCTTGTAGTCATGGTGTGCACTTATGCCTATTGATTTTTGGCTTCTGTGGATGTTAGTATAATTGTAAATAATGTCAAACTCCATTTCTAGCAAGTATAATTATAAGGGGAACAATGTCTGAAATGGCATTGACTTGCTGGGCATTTTTTCTTACTCTTTTACTTCTGTCAGAGTGTTATTTGTGAAGAGTTCCTTATAATTACTTATGTTTTGTGGAAGTCAGCACGCCACCACAATGACATTTAAGCATGGGATCATTATACTATGTTTTTAATAAACAAACCAATTGAGAAAAATTGAATTTTTATTTTTCTTGCCCTAGTTTTTTCTTCAAACCAATAATCACTGGTGAGATTATTATAATATTGTGACTATTACATGCTGCATTAAGTTGAGTTCCTCTTGTTTTAGACTTGAGAATTTGCTAATCCTGATAAAGAGGCATTGTTTCTTAACGCAAAGCAATCTTAGTGAAAAGCAGCATTACTGCTTGATTCTGAGTATATGAAATACTATCAAAGGAAAAAATGCTATGTTTTTGAGTAATAACTCTCCAGGTTTGTTATTCTTAACCTCCCCAAAGGCAACTACATTTACCTCTTTTAAGCTAATTATATTGATATTTTAGCTTTTTGTTTCTAAATAACATGGTGGTATAGTTATGCCATGATTTTTCTGTTTTAGATATTGCCTACTGACTTCTCAATGTATATTGGGATTTAAGTCTCTTTCCTTATCTCCATCACTTATACATATTATCTCTTCCTTCCAACACACAATGTAGTATGATTTTGATTAGATTAGTATCATTAGAATTCTGAGTACAGTTCATGGTTTTCTATTCCTGGGTATCTTATTTGTTTTTTCTAAGCTTAATTTTCTATGAGGCTGGGTGTGATGGCTCATGCCTATAATCCCTGCACTTTGGGAAGCCAAGGCAGAAGGATTGTTTGAGGCCCAGAGTTTGAGACCAGCCTAGGTAACATAATAAGCTCATCTCTAAAAGAAGCAAAAAATTAGCCAGGCATAGTGGCAGGTGCATATAGACCCAGCTACTTGGTAGGTTGAGGCAGAAGGATAGTCTGAGCCCAGGAGGGGTGTGATGAGCCACGATCATGCCAGTGCAGTGATGCTCTCACTAAAAAAAAAAAAAAAAAAAAAAAAAAGTTTTTAAAAAAAAAGTTTTTTATGAACTTTCCCCTACATCAGTTAAACATTTTGCCATTTAGCTAAGTCACTCACGGTGTTCAGCTTCATTAAGTATTCTTCCTTCATCTTCCTGAGTAAGTCTTTCCTGAAACTTTCTGACCTGCCCTAGACCTGACCGATAAGCTTTTATGCCAGGTGTATGGCCTGTATTCTAGGATCTTCCTTCACTGTTATCCTGAGAATTCCATTTCACTTCTCCCATGTTGTGTCTGTTGTTTTTATTACCTATTGTCTTCTTGGTTTGCTCCCTTGTTTTGATGGAGCCTTTTCTCCAGCAGTGTCTTAGGAAAGGTGGCTTAGGAGGCAGATGTTTTAGGAGGCAGACCTTGCTGGTTTGAAAATGTCTTTCTTCTATCCAGCTATTTGACTGATAGTTTGTTGAATATAGAGTTTGTTGGATATAAAGTTGCTTCAGACTTTTAAGACACTTTACCATTGCTTCTAGTTTTCAGTGTTACTGCTAAGAAATCTGAAACCATTCTGATTCCTGATCTTTTTGTGGAACTACATTTTTTTTCCCCTGAGAAACAAGGATCCTTTGTTTCTAGAATTCTTCTATTCCATGATGCCATACTGTAGTATGTGTTTATTTTAATCCATTGTGCTAGGCACTTGATGAGTCTGTTTAAACCTGAAATTTGTCTGCTTTAGGTCTCAGAAATTTTGTGGGTTTTTATTGATAATTTCCTCCCCTTTTGTTTTCTCCTCTCATTGTGAAATAATAGTACTTTTGATGTTTTCTTTTTCCATCAAAGTCTTTTTTAATCTATAATTGCTTTTCTGTTTTTCTTTCATATTAGACACTTTTCCTGGTTGCCTACTCATATTTAAAAACTGGGAACTGACATTGATTACTGGCTTTGAGTGGGTGGAGCTTGTTGATGTGGAGCTTTGCTAAAGGGTCATCTATTGGACCATTTAGTTGGGAAAAAATTTGTGTCAATTTCTTTAGTTATTTCCTGTTGAGCTGGTCATTGCTCAGAGAAGAAAGACTCTTCCAATCTCCCAAGTGAATAATGAGGGCTTGCCAGTATTCTGAAAGAGGGCTGTGATGAGACTCAGGGCACAGAGGTATGTGTGTGTCTCGGTATCCAGTATGCATTTGCTCACTGAGTCTCTGTGTTTTGAGTACAGTGTCCCTGCCCAAACATCCTGGTATTCCACAGTCTTGAGACTTGGTTTTACACTTTTCAGAAAATAAAGGTCTGATTTGGAGAGTACCCTTGGGAAGGGAGACTGCCCAGCTGTGCAGAGTTGCACAAAGTATCCAGTTACTTAAACCTGGAACCAATTCTTATTTTAGTGTCTACTCCTTTACCCCCTGCTTCCAGAGGCACATGAAGCCACCAGTTCCTGAGCCTTTTAGGGATTGTATGATGTAAATTAGGTTGTGGGGGGTTTTGTTTTATTGCTTATTTTGTTTTTCCTACTGAATGACTTAGAATTCAGTTTTCTTTAGTCAGCTGCATTATTTACTATTGGTCTGTGTGTTTTCCAGCTTCTAACTTTTTTGTTCCTATTGTTTACTCTCTTGTTCTTTTAGGTTTATGCCTTAAAACAAAACCCTTTACTGTCATTTACTGGGAGTTGGGGGAGGTAATGGAAGTAGATATATTTGCTTAATCTACCATTGTCAGTCAGACAGCATCTTTTTTAACCCTGTGGTTCTGTGTTTCATGTTAGTAATTTATATCCATTTCTTTTTTTTTAAGAGTTGAGGTCTTTTATCACCCAGGCTGGAATTCAGTGGCATGAACACAGCTCACTGCAGCCTCGACCTACTGTGTTCAAGTGATCCTCCTGCCTCAGCCTCCTAAATAGCTAGGACTACAGTCTACCATTCCTAGCTAGTTTTGTCTTTTGTAGAGGAAGGGTCTCGAACTCCTGGCTTCAAACCATCCTCTGCCCTGGCCTCCCAAAATGCTGGGATTATGGGCCCATTTCTATTTTTTTTTAAGTTGGAGTCTCACTCTGTCACCCAGGCTGGAGTGCAGTGGCCGCTCCCGGGCACCGCAGCCTCGACCTGCTGGGTTCCGGCAATCCTTCCGCCTCAGCCTTCCAAGTAGCTGGAACTACAGGCGTGCGCTACCACGCCCGGCTGATTTTTTGATTTATTGTAGAGATGAGGTCTTGTCAAGTTGCCCCGGCGGGTCTCGAACCCACGGGCTCAGACAATCCACTCACCTCAGCCTCCCAAAGTGCTGGGATTACAGGCTGAGCCACCGAGCCTGACCACGGGCCCATTTCTTAATGAAGATGATGTAGTATATAGCATTGGGGTGATGAATAGTGGCTCCAAAGACAGACCTACTTGATTTCAAGTTCTGATCCCAACACTGATGAGATGAGATGGGTGATTTTCTTAGCAAGTGAACCTCTCTAAATCTTCTTTAATGGTAAAATTAGGATAATAGAAACATCTATCTCCTTCAAGGTGTTGTAAGGATTAAGTGAGAAAATACAAGTAGAGCAGTTGGCACAATTGCTTGACATATGGTAAATGTTAGCTATTATTTGATATGAGACATGTAAAAGCTATTTGTGCTGGCATTCACTGCATAAATAGGTTTCATTCATATTTCCAAATGCTATAAGATAGCACATTGATCCTCTCTTTGTATACAGGCTTCAAAATTACCAACCACTTAACTTCAAAATAACCTCAACCAGTTGATATTAATGCCATTTTACAGATGATGTTGAGACTCTGAAAGTTTCAGTGGCTATAAATAGCACCTGGCCAAGGCCGAGGAGACTTTTAATGTTTATTTATTGTACCCTATCCTTAAGTGCTTTTCTTGGAAGCAAATAGTGTAATTTTTACCCTGGATTCCAATGTTTGATCACTCTGGAATAAGAAATTGTGATGGTTCCTGGTTAGCATTTGATAATTTGGGTCATAAACTTCACTGGGGGATTCAATACTTAGAATCAACAATACTGAAGTAGTACATTAGAAAATGGAGATATGTATGTAGTTTGAATACATAATGTGAAATAAGAAAGGACAATTAGCAAATTTGAGTTTTGTAAACACTTGAAATGGGGTCACTGAAAAATGGGGATAGTGAAAATGTTAATTCTCACAAACAGGCTATGTAGAAAAATACCAGCTTAGTCGGAATTTTGCTTCTAGGTTCGGTTAATGTCCTTCCTGCTGCCAGTGCAACATTTCTTTAAAAACTGCTTTATTGTTGCTTTTTTTTTTTTTTACTCTTGGCCTGTTTATAGGCTAATATCATTTACCTTTATAGTTCTGTGAAGTAAGTTGGCATTACAATTAACAGTGTGTTCAGTAGTTCTCAGGTAGCAAATTTGGGCCTACATTTGGAATGAAGAACAAGTATAAGAATTAGGAGTTGTTTTTCTCCCTTTCCTCCTTTGCTTGAACTAAGCATGTCTCTTATAAGTTCCAGGCAACAGACAGTCTTGTAGATAGTATAGAAAGAAAATCAGCTGGACATTTTACTCTATTATGCTATACCTTGGTGTGGTATTATAATATTTATTGGTTTTCATCTGTGGATCCTGGCTCCTAACTCTGATAGTCCTTATTATAGCTTTGAGGCCCTTTAGACCTTAGGAAACAGTATCCCTCTTTCACTTTAAGTCCTTTGACCTACCCAAGGCAGGACTCAGTAATCTGATTGTGGTTCAAAAGTCCCTTGTTCCACAGAGGGTCCTACCCAATACTGTGGAGGAAAGAAGCCTGCATAGAGAGGCCAAGAAGAATCTTTGCTGGGTTTTCCCACTCAATCCATTATTGTAAGGTCATACAGTAAAAGATCATACCCTTTTTATCCAGTCAAATTTCTTAGGGTTGTCAATTATGCCTATACCATGATGCCTCCATAAAAACCTATAGGATGGGGTTTGGAAATCTTCTGGATAGCTGACCACGTGAAAGCTTCTGGAGGGTGGCATGCCCAGGGAGGGCAGGCAAGCTCCACATCCCTTCCCTCATGCCTCACCCTAGGGGCATCTGTATCCTTTGTAATATCCTTTATAACAAACCATCAACCATGTTTCCCTGACTTCTGTGAGCTACTCCAACAAATTAATTGAATCCAAAAAGGGGGGCTCCAGCTTTTT